CTTACTTTTTCTCTTGCGATTCGAATAGTAAATCCAAGTCTTTAGGTGGCGGAGCAAATACGAGACACTCATTCAGTTAGAACCAATTTTATTGGTTTGAGAATATCGTATGTTGAAAAGTACAATAATCTCTCTCTCGGTCAACTCTTTCGTATGGGTAGTGACCCCCTTTGGCTTTTCGTTCATAACTTTAGGCCAAGTTAGGTGATTCTGAATGACCGGATCCTCTATATCTATAAATCGTTAACCTTGGGACTTGCCCTCTTAAACTGTTGGCACACCCTTCAATATTAGTGATAGTTTCTCTTTGCCCGACAGATCGACAGTGCTCACGCTATTCACGTCGCCTTCTAGCATGGCTCGGTGTATGCTTGTTTTCTTTTGTTTTATACTTTTCAGACCACCCTATGAGGCATATAGGAAAATGTTCAAGCCCTGCCACTACCTAAGAGTAGGTGTTCGCATATAGGGTTTAAGAGCATCAACACAATGGTCTGAGTATCAAAGGGTTATGTTGTAGTTGTGTCTTCATGACATTGCAATGTCGTCCCTTTGACCCAACAACTGCATATGTTTGCATTTTTCATTTCTATACGTGTGCATGTTTGAAGTCATTTTGACTTGTTTTTTGCATGTTATTTCACATATGTTGTGTTGCATGCATGTTATGCATCTATTAAATATCAGGTGATTTGCTACTGTGGACTCTGTTCCTTTCTATGAAAAAAGGTGAGTATCTCAGGATCTTCTATGCAACCTCGCGGTGCCACCCATCTGATTTGGGGCTATATTATGCATGCGTTGTATGACCCATGGTATATTTGATTATGAGTTTCTATTTTTTGCATTCATCACATGGGTGATGCATTTGTTGTATTGTGATGTCTTTGCTCATATCATAACAATTTTATTGTGTCGTTCTTTTGGAGCTTAGCTTCCCATGCACTTGATTTGCATATTGTGCATTTTTATCCACTGGGTATTTTACTTTGATAAAAAAAATAGTCTTTTTCTTCTAGAGGCCTAGGTTCCATGAGTCAGCACGTTAGTAGTCAGACTTTATCTATCTTTAGATTGACCTATGATAATAATAGGAAAATGAGCATTGTTTGTTGGTCTATCCAATTGAACAATGTGAATTATCCTATTATTACTATTAGATCTCGTAAGATCATTCCAAGCATAAGTCTGGGTTAACGTTCATCACTTATCGTGACGAGGGTTAGCCCATTCATATGCTCAGGATAGGGCTAACTTGGTAACCAGTTCAAATACTACGAGAAAACCCTTAGCCTTTGCACTTGCTTGTCTCACACGAAGATGTATGCATTGGCAAATACCTTATAGTTCCTTTGTAGAACTAGGGCAAGAATATAGTTAGGAATTTTCATATACAATTATTATTCATTAGTTTGTGCTAGTTGTTATACATGTTGTGTCTTTTGTATGCTTTACCGAGTTTGACAGTTGTGCATTAGCATATTAAGTCGAGTTTTCATTGCAGGATATCATATCTAACAGGGAGGAGCTTAATAATAATTTAAATTAATGCATTTTCTGCAAATGTTGCTTAGCTCTCCTCCTCGCTGGATAAGGCTTTTTATACGTTGCATGAGATAGCCCGTACTGACCTATATTTAGTAGGTCGAATTTATATTTTTAGATTTCCTCTAGATACTTCTTAAAGTCTCTTAGGAGAGTCTATATTAAAAATAAGGTACGAGCTCGAGTCCTAGAGTTTGGAGTAGGGACCGTGTAGAGAGCATCAAAAGCTATTTTATTGTGCCTCATACCTTAATTTCATATTAGTACATTTATTGTATACTTTTAGAATCGAGTAAATATATGCGGAGCCTGTCCGCCATTTTTTTTGTTGAGATTGTAATCGGCACGGAGACAACTAGCCTCTTATGTTTTTATATTAAGTGTATTTTTATTGCAGTTTGCATTTGTTTATGCCTTTTTATGCATGTTGTTCGTTTGAAAGCGATCACAACTAGGCCCTTTAGTAAAAAATCTTTGTTATAAAAGCTAATATTAAAAGATTTATTATAATAAAATTTAGGATTAAAATTATAATATTTTAAAATCAACATTTTTATTTCATTTCTTTACTTTCTTGTATGGCATTCGGGCTGATTTTAAAATGATCATAAAATACATGAATATGACCCACTTGCATATTAATATGGCCTCTACAATTATGATATCTTAAATAATTGCATATATGTTGCATAACTCGAGGAAAGCACTCATGCTTTCCATTCATAACTCGAGGAAAGTACTTAATCTTTTTATTCTAATAAGGTCCCTACGATGTCATAGATAATTGCATATATGTTGCATAACTCGAGGAAAGTACTCATGCTTCCATTCTAACTGGCCCATCATACGTTTTATACGATTAGGTGGTTGCCTATAACAGTATAGGATATTAGAGGCTCGACTGATCCATATGAGATTTTAAATCCTTTATGCTTTATAGCTGAGTTGTCTTTTTTTCCTTTTGTATTAAATTTATTGTACATACGCTTGACAGATATAATCCCTACATTTTTGGTCTAGATAGTCATAGAACTTAAATGTTTCTTTTTATTGACTTCGGATCTACCGAATCGGTTGGACAATGCAACACAAAGGTTGCTAACGAATTGATTCCCAGCTAGGTTTGGTCAACTACCATCACGGCTTGATAGATCTGAGGCCCCAATAATCTGGGAGGACTAGCCCATGGAGTCCCAACCATGTTATCTCTACCTGTCTAGATTTTTCTTCGACATGCATATTGATCACACAGTCTTTTCTTTGTTAAGTATTTTGTACGCATCTATCATAGGCCCTATTACCACAATGGTGTCTACCCGTTAGGTTACGATAATTCACCCTCTGCCTGGTGGCCTAGCTCTTCCTTAATTACTAGAGGATTCCCCCCTACTACGACCGTCGAAAACCTCTTTGTTGCTTATATTTCAAGATTATTTTGAGCAAACAAAACATCTTCTATCATGAATTTTTCCGGGAATTCACCAAGATGTAAATAAGAATGTGTCTTCATAGAAGATCTCACTGAACTCATAACAAAATAAATTTGATTTTTTAGTTTGTTTTGGTTTCGAATATCATTTTATAGAATCTTTCTCGTATATTTTCACAGGTCGAGTATGGTCTGATTTATTTTGAACCCTCTTCTCTACTTTATATTACAAATTTTTTTTTTATATAAATATCTTCATGAATACTCTTTTTATTTCTTCTTAATTTTTGTCCAACTTCAATCTATACCTTCTTCATTTGCTTCTTTAAGCAAGGGTAACCTAAAAAAGGGATCTAAAAAGGATAGACGTAAAGAATGTCGTTTAAGCTAGAATAAGAAAGGGGCGTAAATAGACCTTTTGATAGAAAAGAAATTAAGCTGCACAAATCGAGACTTTGTATTGTTAAATCTATCTCTTTATGACTCCATATTGAAATTCATGTACTTTCCTAAAGGATTGCCGACTCTTATTTATTTTTCTCTACTTTTTCGATTTTATTCCTATTTTGTAATGCCAATGATATATATATATATATATATTTCTTGTACAAATAAAAGTAAAGACTCTTAAGAGTTTATTCCATTGGTTTATTTTTTACATGGTATCAGAACAAGGTTAGGATGTTCTTTCCAGCATTTGTCTTTATTCTCTAAGATTAGGATTTTCATTTCCATCCTTTGTTCTTATTCTTTAATGTTAGGGTTTCAATTTCTAACCATTATTTTTATTCTCTAAGATTAGGATTTTCACATACAACCTTATCCCTCTTGCTAAATTCTCTTTTTATTTATTATGTCGAGATTCTTTGAATTTTCTTCAAAAGAATCAACCATTATTAATGGTGAAAATGAAACCAAAGGAGAACTTCAGAGATTTTAAGCATCTTATCAATACCTTAAATGATCCTAAATCGTGAATACCTTTCTAAAGGCAAAGGAAAAGGTCAAACACCTTGTGGATCTACCTTCGACGCCTAAAGATTTAGAGTTGTTACTTTAGAAAGAAATTGATTCCATGATCATAACATGGTTGGGGAACACTATACAACTGAAAATCAATGTGTCTTTTATGTTTCTCTCCCAATAAAAATATATTATGGACACACAGATAGAAATTAAGATAACAAAATAAAAGCCGTGTGAAACTCCAACTGAACCAGAATGAAAATTATACAATGATGAAATAGTTGAAGTTGAAATAGAACAATATCAAAAGAAATCAGCTAACAGACATGTTCACCAAAAGATTCTACAACTCAACATTTAAAAATTTCATAAGCAAACATGGAATGGTAGATCTCTGCCACCATTTTGAGGGAAAGTGTTGAATTTATGCTCCAATCATAGCAAAGAACTTGGGGCACGTTGATCAAGGCTTTGTACCTTAGCATTTGTTTCCTTATGACACTCGGATAGCAAAGAACTTAAGGTACATAGATCGAGACTTTGTACCGTTAGATCTATCTCTTTATGACCTTGGGATTGTAATCAGTGTGCTTTCCTAAGGAATTGCCAAGTCCTATTTATTTTCTCTCCTTTTTTAGTTTTATTCCTATTCTGCAATGCCTACGGGAGGTTATATATATCTCCCTCTTATACAAAGAAAAAGTAAATCTTATATTATTTTATTTTCTACATAACCTCTAAATAATAATATAGAACCATTTACATAATAAACATGGCGAAAAATCTAAATGGTTAAAGCGGGAGATTCTTTTGGCTTTTTCCTGGACAAAATAAAATCCAAAAATACCAATGCATGCCCAAAGAGGGTTTTAATGTAACAGCGTTATCCTTGCAACACATCTATCCATGTCATTTGTTAGGTAGAGCAGTAAATTCAAAATAATTTCTCTGCATAAAAGCATGTAGCAAAAAATATCATCTGGCAAATTTCATAGTGTAATTGTAATATTAAAAACATAACATACTGCTTATGGTTTTGAGAGCGAATGGAATATATTACCAACAGATTTAAGTGGATAGGACTACACCCTTGTGGGATTGTAGAAGGAACATAAGAATCAAAGGTAGTTTCTTTTCCGGCTTCATAACTGGAAAATTAAGGGACAATTGTTATGCTGAAGTAAACATATGTAAACAGGGAAGCAAGTTTTTATATCAGTTAAAAGGAGCGCCAATAAAGAGAGAAAAAAACTAACATAAATTACACTCAATTCTCATGTATTTACATATTCAACAACCAAACTTCATTTTTTACATATATGCCGCCTTATCCATGCTCAAAAGCTGTATTTCACTTCTTAAAGTTAAATAATGGTATTTTCTATGTGTTGTTAAAGATTTGGGTGTAATAAATGTAAAAATGCAAAGCTTAGGTGCTAACTATATAAATACATAGGAATCGGGTGGTCTGTATGTAAGAGAAAACAAACCTAGATAGATGGATTACATACAAAAAAATAAAGGAAGCTCAATTAAAGCTAATTCTCTTCATGATTGCAAATTTATATAGCTTGGAAACCATGCAATGCATAAAAATGCCTTCCTTTCTTTCTTCATTGTAAATTTTAGAAATCGCATTAAAACAAGTGTAGTCGAAACTAAAATTGCCAATCTTTTCCTTTTCTATGTATAAACAGTTCAATGTTGACAGACAGACAGTGGAATGGGGAAGATACCCCATCTCAACCATATCATCATGTAACTCAAAAACGGATCGGGAAAATTATCCTGAATTCCACCATATCATCATTTCAAGGTTTAACGTGCTTCCTAACGAAAAAAAGCAAAAGGACAATGAAGACCTGGAGACGGTGGAGAGGTGCAGACGAACGTTGAAACTCTCATCGGTAGCAACGGGGGTAGCAGCGGCGGACAAAGAGGAGCAGAAGAAGAGTAGGAGAAGGAAGACAATGGTATCGCTCTCGGTAAGAGTCATGCTTCGGCTGTAAGCAAGGAAGAGAGCTTCGTTGCTGCGAGTCCGCGAGGGCGAGGTAACTGGGATGGGATCAAGAGTTCATCATTTCTCCAACCTCCCCACCCTTTTGCTGCGGTGACAGTCGGCGTTCTTTTTGACCGGATTAGTCCGCAGATTCTGGTTCGATGATCGTCGGCTGCCGGCTGGCAATTTTTTGGGGTTTGCGTACATCTCATATATTTTTATATGTTTAAATAAAAAGTATTTTAATATTAATATTTATTTATATATCAGTTAAATTTTTAAATTAAATCTATAATATCATTAATATTGTTATTTCTTTCTAAAATGAAATAATTTTTTTTATGAGCATACATTTTAATAAAAGTTAATATATTAAATATTAAAAAAAATATATCAGAATTTAAATATTAGATATATAAATACATAAAATTATGGGTATATATTAATCCCTTATTTTAAATTTAGTTATGGGTTTTTTAATAGCAAGAAATGTATGGGCGATGACAATTTATATTTCCTAGCCCCTCTCAAAAAAATGATAAAAGATTTTATATGAGTTTCTGGTCAAATTTTTAGAAGATAGATGAAATTATAGATAAGAGACTATCTAGATATTTCACTCTTATTTTGTGAGGACAACAACTTAGTAAGTCATCTAACCACGATTATGGATCTATATGTTATAAACCCAAAGTTGTACTTTTTTTTAAATACTTTATTAAAGTGGTTGTTAGAGTTTGATGTTGCTTGTCTTTTCAAGTAATTCAGCATAGTAGCTATTTTTTTACTGTACATTACTAACACATTCAATGGGGTATAATTTTATTCGCTCTCTCTTATAAGATAGACAGTTATTCTTGGAGAATATACACAGGTCAGAATCTTGCATGTAAGTTTGACTATGGTGATGAGTATTGAAAAACCGAATCTACGTCTGGCTTTCAATTGGAGTCCGGGAAGATTAAGACCAGAGATGAGCCACACTATGGTGAAGGTCAATGAAGATGGTATAAATGAAGGTGCAAATTTAAAGAAAATGTGTTGAGATGCATTCAGCCTCCAAGTGAGAGATTGTTGAGTGTGAAGCTTATTTGCATAGCTGTCGCAGCCCACGGGGCTTTCCGATACCTACAAAGGCATTCCAATGCCCCAATGTGTGTGCCCATGTGACTAAGTGGGGCACCCCAGCCGTCCAGTCCATAGGACTAGGCGCCATGTGCCTAGTGTGCAAGAAGTCTGTGCTTTGATTTTACTTGTTTCATTTCAATGAACAAAGCAATAGGAATTCCTATCATAGGAGGCGCTTAGGCGTCATTCTTCCTTTAAATTAACCCAAGCGAGCGGAAAAGAAATGTCCCAAAGTGGTGTTCCGGCACCAAGAGCAGTTTGTACACTGTTAAGGATTTAAGTCATTGTTTCACGAATGATCAAACACTCACACAATGTATTTTCAATTGTGTAATAGGAACAGAGCGACGCCTGTGTCGAAAAAGTGGATTTCAGCGAGTGTTTTTTCTTGTGAGATCAAAAGGAGTTTGAATTGTCGTATGTTCCAGTGATGTAGAGAGTCAATCTGAGTTGTGTAATTATGTATATTTATTTTTCATGATGGATTTTTTTGTGTGGTGCAGCACCGTAATTTTTTCCCATTCTCGTATTTTTCCTCGTTCAATATTTTTATTTTTTTGTGGATTTTCTTCTTGTGCGTTTTATTCAATTTATTGTTTCGGATCTCTCACATTAATTTGTTTTTCCAAATGCTTAGTTTCCATCTCAACGCCTCTAAATTGTTTTTTTAATCTGCAGGTTTTACACGTGATTTACGCTTAAAATTCATTTACTTCTCAGTTTTGCTTTAAATCCCTTCTCCTAAAATGATCAAATTTAACTCTGGCCAAGTTTTTTACTTTCCTTCTACTGTTGCTTTCGTTGATGCTCAATAACGAGCACCTGTTACAGCTTTGTAGCTTCGTTGAACTCAACGATTTGGGGAAAATAAGGGCTGAAAATTTAAACTTATTAATACTAACTAATATTAATTAATAAGATATATTAGTAAAAAAAAGTAAATCAACCTTCATAATTAATAACGACTAATTTAAAATATTTATTTAAATTCATGATATTTATGTTTAATTTAATTAAATATGATTCATTATGTTTAATTTATGTTATAAATAAAGATATGGCTATTAATCATAGTATTATTAATAAAAAATTATGTTATAATTAATAAAACTATGATTAATAATAAATTTAATTGCGTTGATAGGATGCGTTTGTTAACCAGGAAATTAATTTAAGCTTACAAATTAATATCAGTTAACTAACTTAGTGAGTTATAATTATTTGCCGAGATTTTTTGTTAGATTTTAATCAATCCAACTAAAGTTAAGCACTTCCGCATGGCACATTTGTTGAGAATGTAATTTCCCATCATGAAAAAACATCCAATTAAAGTTGATATAAAAAAAATAATATAATAAAATGTTTCAAATTCATAAATCTTTAAATTCAGACTATGTGTTTACATATCTAACACTTAAGCTTTTGTTACATAAAAAATATTATTATTTTAACTCTTAAAATGTGAAGTACAGCTTTTTATGCACAGGTGAAGTGATATTGCTTACTCTAGATATGTCATGTGAATCGCACTGAAAGTATAAAGCATAGGATGGACGAGAGAAACAAAATGAGGGAGACTGAGAGAGGAAAATGGTACACAATAACATAAGTTTTTATAGAGTAAGTTCAGTAGTCTTTTATTATAGAAATGAGCCCTTATTCTAATATTACAAGGTATCTAGTGTAAAATTTCATATTTGTCCCTATTTTAATAGGGACATTACAATTTATTATGACACCTTTTAATATTTGTAACTGACTCCAATAGCCTTTCACATTCATAACCAATATTAGCATTATTTCGTATTCAAAACTGCTTGAAGCGGGCCATCAGATGACATGGTAATCTTTATCAATCATTCACTCGAAAGCCTTCGGTCGGATGACAGACAATCGATAGGCTGAATGGTCGTCGGTCGACCCTCTCAAGGGAATCCTGAGTAGAGGTTCTCCCCACTGTAATATGTCGGGCATCTCTTCTTAGATAGGGGCTTTCTTAGAGGATTAGAAAGGCGTTTTGTGGGGGGTCATTTGGTTTTTTTATGAGAAGTTCCAAATAGTCATGTATTACTATTCCTTGGATTGGGCTCCTTTTGTTTTTCATTCGTCTATGGTTCTATTCAGTTGGCTCAAAGTTTTGACCGAAGGAGATGAGTTTGGTGTTTCTGACTTTTGACTATGTGATACATTGTCTAATGGCTTCATAAATGAAACCCGTTGTATTTTCTCGAGATTAGTGTGAACATACCTTTGATGTACATATTTAGTTCTCCGATTGTCTTATTTCTTAAAAGTGACAGTTACAATAATCATAAAAATATTAAATGCAAACATTGACTTATCTATTACATAATAAGTACTTTTAATAATTGGACTACCAGATGTTTATGCCCACATTACCTATAAATAAAGTGTGATCAACACTTCTTTATCACTTTTTTTTTTTAAATTTCTTGCCCTTCAGTCATTTGTTAACAAAAGAGATACTTATGGTGAGTAGCAAGAAGTATTCTGCTAAGGCGGTAAATGAGGCAGCCAAGATGAAGAAGAGAAAAGGAAATTGGAGAGTAATCGAGTCGTGATAAAGAAGAAACTGAGGGATGACTTTTGGTCGATAATAACAAAGAGGTCGGAGGGAGAAAGTCATTTGGTCTACACAAAGAGACCTGAAGGAGATAGCCGACTAGAGAGAGAAAAGTAGGTCAAGTGGCTCATAAGAAACAAATGGTGGAGGAATTGGAGGAAGCAGTTGAGTCATCCGACTCGATGTTGCTCCATCGTGAGATGAGAAGTAAGGCAGACGTGAACCCACTGGTGCGACGATCCTTACCCTTACATCAATTTGTGAACGACCAACTCAAAAACCGATCTAGAATATCATAGAGACCCCTCTGAGTGGGGGCACAACTGCCTTTTCTTCAATTGGTGAGATCAACCGGGTGGTCTTCTAACTGCTTCTTGGTGAGAGCCACTGATAGTCTAAAGTGGAGTGGATCCTTAGTACGAGAAAACCTTGTCCTCTTTGATTGAATAATTTTTTTGTTTTTCTAACATTTGATTGTTTTTTCAGATGAGACCTTGCAAATCATTGACTCATCAAGGATGGGAGCCGACCGTTCCCTTGGTCCAGAGGCAACTTAGGAACTGTCAGCTCCGACCCAAGGTGGAGGCCCATTTGGTTGTATGTCTTGTCTTGAGGATGTAGGGCGAGAAACCTTGGAGAAAGCCAAGAGAACACTTCTACAACCTTCGCAAAAGCATAAGTCCTTTGAAACCCAATTTACTTCTTCCTTCGCAAGCCACTTAGGTCCTTTTATTTGAGATTCAAGCTTAGGTTCTGTGTTAGAGGAAAACTGCTATGTTAAGGAGCATTTTTTTTGTGATCCCTCATGATCCATGAGCATGTCCCCTAAGATTTAGCTTTTAATCCCATTTGGTCGGAAATATGATATTTTTTAGTTGCTTTAGCGGTTTCACTCTCGATGAAGGAGGTGAAACCCTCCAAACGTTGAGAGTAAAAGGGCTTTTTTTTTACCATTTCATTTCCTTGGCTATGGAGTTAATTTTTCATAAGAAAAATTCTTATTTCAAGATTTTCCTTTTATGGAAATTACCTTGTGGCTTTGCTAATAAATTGGAGGTAGGCTCATCATTACATCGAGTAATGAATCGTTGTTAAATGCCTTCATCCGCCCTAGATCCTTGTGAGGTCATTAGGATGAGTCTAGTTTGCCATCGAGCATGATGGGGTTTTGATACACCAAAATAATGCACTATTTTATGTATTTATTTTATGCTTATTTTGGTGATATTGCACTTTAAAGAAGAGCATTTTCATGTTTTTGTTACAGTATATCAATTTCAGGCATTTGGAGCAAAGAGTAGCAAAAATGAGTAAATTTAGACCCAAAATGAAGATTTTCATGATATGGCACCAGAATTGGCGCCAGAGGTGCCATTTTCCAGAAATCTGGCGCTAAAAGTGCCGAAACTGGCGCTAGAGACACCATTTTACAGAGAAGCGATGCCAGAAGTGCCAGATTTGGCGCCAGAGGTGTCATAATCCAGAGAACA